CAGACACAGAGGGAAACACCTCTGATGGCTTCCACTTGCATTTACAACCATGACCTGTCCCATGTTCCATATTTCTAATGTTATGCACAAGAGTGCTACACACACCAAAACAAGATACACCGCTACAGACAGTGTCTTTGCCAAAGGCACAGCATGCGAGGACAGAAGGGAGTAACCTCCAGGAAGGACCCCCTGCACCCATCACCAGCACCACTAGAGCTGAACACATTACTTCAGGGTTTGGTGGCTCAGAATCCGGCCTGCCCCCACACCGGAGGGGCTGACAGCCTTCGTGGGCCCAAAGGCAAGATGCTGGGTGCTCCCAGAGGGGGCGGGGCCTCTGGGGAAACCAACACGCACACTAATCGGTTTGTCAGAGCCATCGCCCCTCTTCCCCAGTCTCCAGCAGGCCAGTGCTCCGCGTAGGCCTTTCCAAGCCTTCCCTAAGGATGAGCGGCCTACTTAGAGGGTCCGCTTGCTGGACCAGGAAGCAGGCCCCGAGCTAGTTAAACTCGGCTTATGGAGCCGTAGGCCTTTCCAAGCCTTCCCTAAGGATGAGCGGCCTACTTAGAGGGTCCGCTTGCTGGACCAGGAAGCAGGCCCCGAGCTAGTTAAACTCGGCCTATGGAGCCCAAAACCCTTTCTGTTCTGCTTGTGCCGGGAGCCCTCAGTGTGAAGCAGGGTGGGGAGTCCCCCCGAGGGGCTGGGGTCTCTCTGCAGGTCTTACAACTGAGGGACTCTGCCCCCTCTGCCCCACACACACTGGTATTAGCACCTGGAGGGCTCTGCTCCCCACCCCAAGCGGACAATGAAAGCAGAAAATCTGTCCTATCAGGTTGCCCAGGACTTTGCAGGAAATTGCCCTGTTACAGTGTTTTTACAGCTCTGAATTGTGTATTATCGGCCTTGGCGGGTGCAGGCAAAGAGCCAGCAACCTCCCATCTGGTTGTTTCCTTCTCAGCCGTGGAGCGAGGGTTGCCAGGTGTCTGTTTTGTATTGGACACTCCGGTATTTGAGGGTTCTGTCCGGGAAACAAATTGAGAAAATACCGGACGTATAAAATGTCGGGTATTTTCTAATTAGGTCAGTCTATTATAACTAGGAGTCACAGTAGGTAGTTGCGCACTGCCTGGCTGGTAGACATGCTCATGCTGCATGCGCGTGTCTATCAGCCAGGCAGTGCGCAACTACGCAAGGGGCCGGGGC